ACGCAACGCCGGGGAAGCATAAGCTTCTCTGATTCATCTCCATCCATTTTTGAGGCGGGTCTTGGGGTTGGCAGGGAAAGACGTCGAGGTCGGAGAGAGCGCCGGCCAGCGCCCAAGTTTGCTCGGTCCCCGAAAGTCCACCGGAAAGCGGAGTTCCGTTATTCTCCAGCGGAATTGACTGTGGATTAGATGCTATAGTCTCCGCTTGACCTTGCTGACGGTAAGTATGCCGCTATCATTGACAAGTCAGGGTGAAGCCCACGACTGATTTTCAGCTGACCGAGAAACGTTCCGAGTGAAATGTCTTGAAGGCGGTCAGATATAAACCCTGCAGACGGCGGCGCACGAGGGGGGCGCAGCCCTCCCGAGTGCGCCGCTGTCGTTGTTAATTAGCTCAAGCACTTGGGCATTGTCGTGCCAACGGCACGGGTAGACGCTAGTTTAATTATCTTTCCATTGAACACTGTACTGGTCACGAATGCGGAAATTACAGGGCTGCAGCAGAGTTGCCCTGCCCCAACAAAAACAAGGTGGTACCAAGTCACTCTCTGTCGGGGAGTCGAACCCCGCTTTCGCGCGACCGGTACAGAACATGACAGGCGCGTGTACTAACCGATATACTAACAGAGATGCCTGCAGTCCACTACGTATAGCGTGCTGCTCCAGCGGCCCGACGCCGTATGCCACTTCAGGCAGAATACCCTCAGTTTACGGGGTCCTCGAGGGTTTGCGAGGACGATGTCATGAATGTTGAAATTAATTGCCCGCCTCTTGGCTGCAGTACTGGTAAAGTACACTACGAGATAACATTAATGGACACGGGCTTGGAGAAGATCCTTGATGAGACCAACAAGAAGTCAATGAGCGATTTTACACACGTCCACAGAACCAGATGTAGTACAAGACACAGCAACCGTCATATGATACAGATATACAGCATGCCCCTGGAGAAATCAGCGGGTATAGTTGTCCACGAAACACGCAATGCCGGAGCAGAGATTGGGGAGGTCGAAAGGCAGCAATATGAGGTGAGAAGTGTCACACAGGAGACGGAGAGAAGAGGAAGGCACATAGCGAACGCCCCGGAGCATTCCTCCTCATCTCCGCAACCGAAACCAATCCGGAATCGCCCGCCACAGCCGCTCCCGCTCCCTCGCCGCCCACGCCTCCAGCGCATGTGCACACGCTGTACAGTCCGCAAACTCCGCGCTCTTCAACTGCCCCAGCTCCTCCGCGACGTACAGCGGGTCCGCGCACCCCCGCTCGCGGTCGAACAGGTAGTGCTGCGTCGCGAGCTCGACGAGCTCAGCCAGGTCCTTCCGGCACGCCGCGGGCGTGACACAGTTCGCGCGGACTCGCCCGCCGACGCCAGGGGGGTGGGCGGGGACGATGTGCTGCCCCGAGCGCGAGCGGCGGTGGGAGGGATGATCGGCGGAAGCGTGTTCCATGTTCTGGATGAGCGTAGTGACGGCCTGCTGCGCCGCCTCTTTCCCGAGCGCGAGCCGCTGCATGTCCGCTGGAGACAGCGTGTACGAGAGCGAGACTCGGGCGGACGGCGGGGTGTGCGGGTCGAGCGGGTCGCCGGGAGACGGTTCGAATATCTGCGTGAAGCTGTAGCGGGACAGCTCATAGAAAGCAGAGGGGAGGAGCTCGTCTGCTCCTATCTCCCGTGCAAGGTTAATTATGGCCTGTAATTGGAAGGTGTGAGCAGGAGGAAACTACGGGAGGGATATGCCAGCACTGACTATTGGATGTGGATACCGGAGGCCTCGCAGGTCTCCTGTCTCGACCTCGTGCGTGCGGGCCAAATCTTCGCGCAGATCCCATGCCTTGAGAGTCGACGGCCATGCGCTGCGTATGTGTGCCATCGCCTTGGCTCGGATGGAATCCTCGATCAGGTATTTCGTCGATAAGCGGAGGACACCAGAGACAGCTGCGAAGTCTTCCCGGTCGTTGTTCCCGAAGTTGCTGGCAACGCGGCAGTCAGTGACGTCGAAACAACTCTCACGAACGGTGAATCTTGAGCAGCCTCTACGGTGACGGTCACCAATGTGTCCGACACACGCTCCATGTCCAGAAAGCCAGATCAGCTGCCAGGAAACCTGCTGAAGTCTGTCCAGCGGACAGTCCGCCGCGCATTCGGGTCCAACATGTAGAGTGTCTCTGAGGTCTCAGAGTAATGCCTGGTAACGCCGAGGCCACTTCCTGTAAAGCATGCCCTTCCCCTGTCATCCGATCCCTCATACACGGAGAGGTCATCGAAATACGCAGGCGCGAACATTTCGGTGTCCCGAGGACCGGTCAATGACTGTACCATGTCGCGGTCGGTCACCCGACACGCAGAACCCGTCGCGTCACCCCTGGACGTCCTTTGTCCCGCAGGTCACCCGGCGCACTCTCCACCATACAACTTCCTCGTCTCTCACATTCCGCAGTGCTCGCATGTAACATGGCTCACAATGTCGCGTGTAAGGGGACCGTGTAAGGGGACGAATTGGTCGCTTCACGCTTCACGCTGACACGCGTTCCTCGCGCCGCGTCACAACTCGAAACGAGGCGGTCAAAAAGACGCGACGAATGCAGCTAGCAAGCTTCATAAAACGTGGAGATAGTCCGATGAACGAGAAAGCTCACATACGGTCCGTCATATATCACCTTCACCAGGTTCGCGACGTCATCCGGGGGATCGTGGAGGTCCAGGACGGGGCAGCCTTCGAGTC